AATAATAACAATAATAATAATAATAATAATAATAATAATAATAATAACAATAATAATAATAATAATAACAATAATAATAATAATAATAATTTAAAAAACCCAGCGCGTATCGATGTTGATGACGCTAGACGTAGATCGAATGCTGATTGGTTGAAACGCTGAGTTGACCCGGGAAAGAGAAAAGCTTCACGGAAGTGGACAAAAATGCAGGCGCTCGAAAGTTTCGAGGAACAGTTAGCTGAACAAATTGCGTTACACCACAACCTTTATGACCCTGGACACAAGTATTACAAGAACCCGCACGTTAGCATCAAGTCGTGGCAAGAAATAGCAGCCGCCCTCCAGACAGAGCCGGACAAATGCCGCGAGAAGTGGAAGCAACTTCGGGACAGGTATGTTCGGGCCAAGAAAAAGTTCAACAGCAAAAGCAGCCAGCCAGCGAGACCAGCGAGAACCCCTCCGCTGCTGAAGTCCCTGTCGTGGCTGGACGGGTACGTGAAACACAGGAATGCCGTGACGAGGTACACAATAGAGGTACGAGACGCAATAACTTCCAGCTGGGCAGAAAAATAAAAGTAAACAAACTATAAGAAGGTTTGGGTTTTTTACAGTTCATGTGTCCTTACTAGAGTCCCGAAGACTTCTCATCCTCCCCCGCAGGGCCGGCCCAGGTGCTGGAAGACATGGCTAACCCTGTAAGTGTTCCTGTTTGTGTGTGATGTTTTGATGCCCTTCACCTGTATGTTTAGCTATGTACAGTCATAGCGGAAGTGTTTGGTGCTGTTACTGAATCTCAGTATTTTTACACTGGTGCTTTTTTCCTTTAGTATCCCGATAAATCCCAGAGTTCAGCTGCAGCATCCCCTGGACCGTCACCACACAACAGCAGCCAGGGAGGCGAAATACAAGTAAGAGCTTTTACAGGACTAGCCTGACTGGCACAGACATGTGTGGTTCATCTATTATGCTATTTGAAATATATTTGTTATAGCACTGTGTATAATCAGATGACAAAAACTTGGTTGCTTATAAACATTTAACAGAACCATATTTACATATGGAAAAAATGGGAATATACACATACACAAATGGAGAATGTAACATTACTCAAGACTTTGTGGACTGGTGCCAGCTGAACTACCTCCAGATCAACGCCAGTAAAACCAAGGA